AAATATAATAATTTACTAGGGTGCAATTCGGACAGGTTGGGGTTGACAGGTAAACTTTAGTTCAAGATTAGGTATATAATCTTCAACTTTAATCCTAATCCTACCTCAACCCAAGGTATTCAACTCGAGTACTGCCCGAGTTTAATTTGAGGCGAGTTCAGGTTGAATTCGAGTTATTTAATTCGGCTGATTTCAAATTAAAATCAGTTTGAGTTTGAGTTACTTAATTCGGGTTGATTTTTTGAGTTGTAGATTTAATTTTTTAAGTGTAGATCTAATTTTTTTTAAGTGATCTGAAATGATGGGCAATGGGCAGATAAAGAGAGAGGGAAGAGTGACGAGTGAGAGAGAGATCTGAGGGTGATGAGGACGCAGAGGTGACACCTTGAAGTGAAGTAAAAGTTTAAACTCTAAAGAATGGAGATAAATATTAATTATAGTTAAATATATTTATATATTTTAGGTATATTCGGGTTAAATCCGACAATTCAAGGCTTGTCCAAATTTAATTCGGGTTAAAATTTTTTATCCAGGTATAATCCAAGTATTAAAAATTATATCCTAAATCTTATTTTTTTGGGATTAAACTCGAGGTGAATTCGGGTTGGCCCGCCGCCGAAGTTGCACCACTGTAATTTACCCAACAAGCAACCTTTCCTTAAACACTGCTGCGCCTTCTCTCCTCTTCGCCGACAACAATGGCGGCTTCTTTGCAGTTCAGTGCAAGATTCTTCAAACCCCAACACTTCCAATCCAAACACTCCGCAAGACCAGCTGTAATCCGCTGCTCCGCCACCACAACCACAAAACGATACACCATCACTTTACTTCCAGGCGATGGAATTGGCCCCGAAGTCATCGCTGTCGCAAAAAATGCCCTCAAACTCGTTGGCTCGCTCGAAGGTACATCATACCCTTTTCTCAAAATTCCACATTTGTTTTCCGTTTGGTCACTGAGATAACAGAGGAAAAGGTCAAGAAAAGAGAGAGAGAATTTAATAAAACAGTGTTAAATGTAGTGCCCTTTCTTGTTGTTGAGGTTACAATCAATAAGAGTTAAAATTTCATTTTCCCATAGATTTTATTTTGAGTAGCCAAGGAGAGTTTGTATTTTTCAGGGTTTAGGGTTTGACTGTAGGATGTAATTGGAAAAATAATAGGGATTGAATTTGAGTTCAAGGAAATGCCTGTGGGTGGAGCCGCCTTGGATTTGACCGGAGTTCCGTTACCAGAGGAGACCCTTTCTGCGGCGAAGCAATCGGATGCAGTTCTACTTGGAGCAATTGGAGGGTGATTGTATTTCTATTTTATTTTCAATGTTTGTTATTAAATAATTACATATTTAAAAAAATAAATTATCAATGTGAGATTGAGGTTGGACTATGCCCTAGGGTCTGGGCTTGGCAGGATATTGGTAGAGGGTCCGAGGCGATTGAGCCAAACATCTGGGCTAGTTTTTGAATACTAGGCCTAGCCTAGAACCTATGCACATCCTTATATTTTAGATAGATAGATAGATAGACACGTCACAATTAAATATTCCTATAGCTTACTTTATATTTATACCAATTTAAATAAAACCACTTCAGTACAATGAAAATTTTGTTTTAATTCGTTGGTTTTGTTACCATGCGTGAAGGGAACCACACGCGATTTGCTTCAAACGCGTAGGAAGTCCAACCCAACACGTGCCCTTGTCCCTCTACGATAACGATTGGATGTAAATTAGATGCGTGATTGCATTCGCGATTTGCATTGTGCTCATGCAACTTAACGCGGTATAGAGACGCAAATTTGGACATTCTGTAGTCAAAAAAAAAAAAGTTGTGGTATGAGTGTAGAGGTAGTAATATTAATCTATTATCTATTAAATCGTTCAAACACGTTCATAAATAAATGACTTGAGTACTTATATTAATTAATGTGAATTGTAAATGAATATGATAATATAATTCATTTTAATTGAGCGGGTTAATATTGCTTATAAATGGGTACCCATTGAGTTTAGTATTTAACTTTCTATTAAATAAAAATAAATTAATAAAATTAAATAAATATATTAATATACCAAAAAATACACACACATACTAATACACCAAAAAATACATATATATACCAAAACATACATATGTATTAATGTGTGTTATTAAAAATTTTAATTATTTTATGGGTTAATGGATTTAATCTAACCTGTTATAAATCCAACTCATTATAACTCATTAATACATGAGTGAAAATTGGATTGAATTTATTTTAAATCAACCCAATTCACCCATTTTCCACCTCTAGGTATGGCTCAAATCATTCACCCTTTTTTTTGGGGCGGTATTCTGAGATATAACAATGTTATTTGCACTTAATTATCAAACTTATTTTAGGAGCCTAATATATCGTGTTTTAGATTGATAATGAATGTCATTTAATGTTAAGCTCAACTGTTAATTCAAAGGCATTAATGTATTTTTTGTAATCCTAAAGATAAATCAAGTGATAACCAGGACGATTTGTTGTAAACTCAGACGCCCTGAATTTGAATTTTAGCAATTCATTGAGACCAAGTCATAAGAAATTTACCCTTATGAATGTACTAGTTTCAGCATGGATGATCTGTCTTTAATTGGACGAACATGAAATTAGTTAAAGTGAATGTAATTTGACCCGTACACCCCCTAACTATTGAAAAAAAATGTATTTTTTGTCAATAAGGGCAAAAATATATTAAGTTCTAAAATTAAATTTACAAATTATGCC